GTCGAAAACAACCCATTTTTGAGAATTTCACAATCACCGGAATGAGGATTATTATCTAATTTCTAAAAATAAAACATCGAAATTTAATTCCACTTTTAAATATTTATTGCATTAAAACTAGATTACAAATATATCCATCAATTAATTAATTAGAATTAAAAAGTATTCGTTAATAATACTTTTACCCTTCGAGATTTCTTTTAAATTTAATTTTATCAAATAATAACTGAAGCATGCTAACAAAAGTAACAAAAACTAAAATATACATTGAAACATAAAATATAAGAATTAATTGAACTAATAATACACATAGAATTGACCTAAAACATTTTGACTTTCAGGGAGGTAAAATAAAATAAAATTTTAACTTCTTAACACTAAATACAAATAGACACTTCCTTGTAGATTAAAATTACATACTTGAGTCAATATGGTAAAGGTAAGATCATCATTGCACTACAGACTGTCAAAGTTGCACAGATAATAAATATTTATAGATTACAAATATAGATTACAAATGCAATTATAATATTATGATCCACATAAAAAGGACATGCTGTCCTATGTTTGAAAACTACTTTATTTCAAATAAATATGTATAAAAATAAAGAGGCCTAGGCCTAGATTATGTTTGAGTGTTAGAAAAGGAAGTGTGAAGTCGTATTACAGTATCCGTCAATAAATATTACACATCTACATATGGAAAGAGACTGCGTGTATGCTAAAATTAGTCAAGTTCTTTCCTCAAAAAGATTAAAGGTTTTGTACAATGAAATGATCGTATTATAAAAATGTTTCTTCTTCCTGATGTATAATGTTTGTCGCCGGGTAGTGTAGTTGTATTACATGTATTAAATATAAAAATACCATCCACCTACAAGTCAATCTTAGGCCTATACTGCAGTCTCAGTGGAGGGTCTCGGAATCGCCAACGTGTCACATACACAAACTTTAACGTATGGTCCTTGCCTAATAATTCGTCGTTGCATAGAATGTCAATCTGAAAAGAACAAAATCAAATTAATCCTGTTGTACACAACTGTTTAATGAAGAACTCTAACCAGATAAAACATCAATTTAACTCATTGGCACTCATTTAGTCATATGAACCTTTAATATTATGGGCAACAACAAAAGCAAATTATAAAATTAAATAATGTAAAAAAGTACATGATTAAATAATGTATTTTCTATTGAGAAAATATATTGTGTCTCGGGTGGATTTGCATTTTAGACACAAAAGATTAAATCAATAAAAAGATATAACATTATAACTTACTTCTCTATACTTCTCCATTCCGCTTAAAACTTTCTTAGCTATAAACTTCTTGAGGTGTGTGATTGTGGCTTGTGCTGAGCACCGGATGAAGCTGCGCTTCAGTGTCCGTAGCGATGTTGATATGCACTCCAGGCATACATTCACCTGCAATACAAACAATAAACAAGATTAATTAAAGTCACTTTAAATAATTCATACATACATTCATGCATAGTAATGTGTAACTAAAGCTTGTTCCAAAGTGTAGATTTGCATGGAGAACAAGCATCGAGATAGACCATTATTACAGTGAAAATATGGCAATAGGATAGAAAATGAATGACAAAAATCATGAATTGTAGTAAGTATTTACACTCTAAAATCGCACTACTTGTACAGTTAAGTAGGTGGAGTATGTATTGTCTGTACCATACACACTATCGCCTGTACCATGTGAAGTAAGCACAAACCACAGAATGCATTTTCTACACTATTCCGAAGATAAAATTAACCTATGTAACATGTCACATATAACTTGCAACACATTTTTGTACTAAAACTATTATTGTTATCCTTCTTTACCTGTTCATCTTTTCTATGACAGTCAGTGTTATCTGGCTGTTCAGGTTCATCGGCTCCAGGCTTGTCTGCAGCCAGGGCCGCATCCTTGGGGCAAGGCAGATTGCGAGCTCGATAGAAATCACGCTCACGTTTTATTTCATCTGGAATCAGTTAGTTTTGCATTTAGTATTGAATTATACACATTTTTACTGTCTCAGATGGAAGCTTATTTTTTATTTTAGGTAACAGTTAACTACAAATATGCATTACACAATATAATGATGTGTACCTTCATAAAATTGTGTTTCAAGCCACACCAATAAGACTTTCATCAGTACAACTAATTGAAGAATATAACATTATATTTGTATTTTCATATAGACTCTATAGAGGACCTTCAATCCTAGACAATGGATTCTTCAACTTAAACTGTAGAGTGTAGCTATAGATTACTGCATAAAACCTCCTTGTTACGAACTTACAAAGAGAAATACTTACTGTCCTGCAGGTCTGGCACTAACTTATACACTATATCCTGCATTGTCCGGTCGAAGCTGATATACTGTAACGGGTGGGACTGGTGTATCACTATGTCGCATGTTGGACATGTGTTGTTCTCCTCCAAATGTTTCACTAAGCAGCTCTTACAGACTGTAATAAAACAAAAGAGGTTGTAAATCCTACTTCGTAATTCACGGTTTTTGATACTAGGCATTATAGGGTTTGTCCTTTGCCATCAGATGAAGATCAAGTTAAAAATGTAGCGGGAAATATTGATCGGTCTCTATGATCTTGAATGTCATTGGCTTCGATAAAACACTTTGTAAAACATTGTTAGATTTGTGAACACCGGTATTATTTAGGATTCTTAATAATGACAGCACTAAATAAATCAACAGTAATAAGAGAAGCACTAACACGTATGAAGACACTCGGTGACCGTGGTCGCGTCGATGAAGTAGCCCCGACATATTTTGCAAGTAATGTGACTGTTTAATGCCTTTAACTTTATCCTCCTTTCCATTGTCATCCTAAAACTAAGGTGGAGCCAAAAACATTAGTGAAACTAACATAAAACTGATGGAAAAATAAAAAAATTAGAACACAAATGCAAACTACAATCAACAACTCAACACTTCAAACGCGTTTTGTTATTGCACTGTAACGACAGAAGACAGCTCATAAATTAACAGATAAAAAATGTGTGAGCGCTTTCAAAAAAAAATATTAATATTTCGTAAATCACGTTTCAAATGGGTCAATAAAGTGAATTAAATCTTTATAAATGTTTATTTTACCATAAATTTATTTTCGAACACAACTGCATTGAATATTTTATTTAAAACGACTGCTGTTTTCATTTTAATTTTTAGACATTAGTTGGTACAAGAAAAGCAATATCAAAACGTTTTATACGATTTGTTTTGTAAACGAAACGCATGAAATCCAAGATGAAATCAATAAATACCTATCTACTTATTTTTGTTTATGTATTTTTTTAAGTGGGAAATATCATCACTTCTCCCGCCTAGGTGAGGCGAGAGGGAGTGTCAGACTCTTACTGACTAACTAAAAACCATTCCTATTCCTGCTCTTCGAGCCGGAGCCCCGGTGACCCGTTAGGTTCTCCGCGGCTCCGTATCGGTATCAGCCCTTAATTAGGCCCCATCCATGGTGGTCTGATGACTCTTTGAGGCGCTCGGGTATATAATATTTTTTTATTTAGGGTAGATGCCTAGTTGATATTTTAATGTCCGTCTGGTTTTTTTTTTTAAATTATTAGACACGTATTTTTATACAGAAACGAATGCTTTTTTTGATATATTGATTTCAAATGTCGCGTGACGTCACTTCTATGTGTTTTTTTTACATAGAAATGACGTTTTAGCCCCCCACTTCTAAACTTATTACTAACTTTAACTTTGATTCGTTTTATGTAAGTATTGTTTTACTATACTTACGACAAAATAAAACAAATATGTGTCTAATATTTTTTCATTACCTACCACGGACTAATTATATTTTTAACTAGCTACTTCCGCGCGGTTGCACACGCTCTGCTCAGCTCCTATTGGTTGAAGCGTGATGTTTTTGACAATCTAGAAACCGCGTAGTGCTTTGCCGGACTAACAAATCAAATCTATCGAATATTAATAATTACAGCTCGAAAATGGAATATTGTACATTTCATATAAAAATAATAAAACAATGTTTTAGTTTTATTTTCAAATATATATTTTGTACACACTTTTTTATCACAAAGTTAAAATATTTCATGTTACTTACATATTTATTTTCAATTAATATTACACATTATATTGGTAACATAAATAATTGTTTGATTGTTGCACAGCAGATTGCAATTAAATATTTTTAACTAGCGGACCTAGCATAGGTACTTTGTTTCGGCTTGATAAAAATTCTGCGAAAAATTGTAACAATTGCAAACCCAACATAAAAGAATTAACGAAATTGGTTCAGCTGTATTCGAGATTTGTGGTTAGTAACACATTTAGTGATTTATTTTTATATTATAGAGATAATAATATTTCAATTACTACATAACATATTATATTGACTTAAAATACCTAGGTTTACGTACATTAAAGTCAATTAATATATTATTTCTCGTAACAAAGAATTTTTTTTTTATGGCATAAGCCGGTAATCGTACAGACGGATCACCCGATGGTAAGCAATCGGCGTCGCCCATTGCCACCTGGAACACCAGAGTCGTTACAAGTGCGTTACGGGCCTTTTGGGGATTAGGAGTTTGAGGATCGTTGGGGATTCAGGGATTGGGGAGATTGGGGAAGGGGAGATTAATTGGGCCTCCGGTAACCTCACTCACACGACGAAACACAACGCAAGCGTCGGTTTTCTGTGAGGCCGTGGTAGCACTCCGGTCGAGCTGGCCCATTCGTGCCGAAGCATGGCTCTCCCACACTTAAAAATAGACAAGACCCTTTTGGGTGCCAAAAATCATTGCTGTGCATCAATCAAAAACATAAAGTTGAATAAATTAGGCTCAATATACACAAGTAATAAATAAAAGACAATGTTTCACAAAGCTATTAAGTGCAATACACATCGTGGTATCTGCCTAAGTAGGTACTGCACTTTATTTATTATTTCTTTTACAATGATAACTTTTTATTTGAATTATTGTATGTCAACCTATTCTTTATTGTCAAACTCTATTACATCTTCAACTTTATTCTATTGACATAAAAACGAAAATCCAATGACAGATTGTAGTAGGTTGATCTACTAGCCACTCTAAGCATTTAAACTTAACCACATAATATTTTTCACGAATGTATATGTGTGTATGGAATAATTGTAATATGTCGTGGTGGCCTGGAGGTTTAAGACGCCCGCTTCTGATGAATGAACATCTCTGCCGGTTCGAAACCAACCAACGACAAGTACCAATGTGACTTTTTCCGAGTTATATGTACTTTCTAAGATTATTTAGACACAACTGACAAACGGTAAAGGAAAACATCGTGAGGAAACCTGGACTTATAATTTTTAATTACAAGTTTGAAATCGCTAACCCGCATTGAGCAAGCTTGGTGATTAATGCTCAAACCTTCTCCGTCTGAGAAGAGGCTCTGCTCAGCAGTGGGCATTTATAGGCTGTTTTTGATGATGATCATGGAATAATTATTTGGATACAAAAATCTCCAAGACATTAAGTATTTGTAGCACAGGTAGGTAATGTCGATTTTTTATTTCACATTTAAGTGTTAGACTGGCATAATGGCACAGCTTGTAAACATTCCCTTTCATTAAACATAGAACACAACATTATTAATAATATCTAGCGTCATTAATAAAAATAATTTATGAGATTTCTTTTATTAGACCTACATACAGACAACTTTAAATCTTATACAACATTATTTAAGTTCTGTTTCCATTGATACAACTGAACATTCCGAGATACAGGCTGTTGTTTTAGTCATATATTCTATTTACATGAATGACAATAAATATTGATATATTTGGGTACTTGCCTTCATCAAAAATTAATTATTTCGATGTACACTTTCATTAATTGATTTTATGACTAACTTAAGTTTAGTATTTTTCCAGCAAATTCTTAAGAAATAAGTATGCTGTTTGACGCTAAAAAACGTGACGTCACAATACGCAATCTCGTACACAATTCAAAACTATCGTTTTTGACAGTTCGAAAAAGGTATTGAATATTTGACTAGTTGGCAAGTACCCAGATGGTTATATAAGAGCATTAAGCCAAGGATTCACCAGGGGCGAAATGTCCTACGACATGTATCGGCGCGTCAACCGAATCCGGCCGATTTACATAAACATAACATAACATCACACCTTTTATCCCCGAAGGGGTAGGCACAGGTGTACATTACGGCACTTAATGCCACTGTACAATGTAACATCCTCTTTTCACTATTTATGTTATGGGTCCCATGTAATACGGGGGTGAGCCTGTTGCCATATACCGGGCACAATTCCAGACACCGTGCTACTAATGAGATTTTTTGAAAAAACCCAGTTATACTTTGCCCGACCCGGGAATCGAACCCGAGGCCCCTTGCCCGTCAGTCGCAATTGCGACTACTCGGCCAATGAGGCAGTCAAGTCGGCCGATTTCACCCGACATATTACAAGGCGACAACGCGCGCCATATGTCCACAACGACGTTGATGTTGCCAGACATGTCGACCAAAGTCCGCCAACGTCGCGCTACTTCACCCAACGTCGCTGGCGACACGTGTCGCAGGACATTTGTCCCTAAGTGTACACTTTAAGGTTCTATATCGTTAGAACACTATTGTCACATGAACAGAGGGCCAAGCACGAATAACTATCGCATTCGTATCGTAACAGTATCGAGCGAAGTAAGTGTTCTGATTGGTTGGTTCACTCGAGCCGGCCAATCAGAGCGCCGAACGCACTCGATACTATTACGTTACGATTGCGATAGTTATTCGTGCTTGGTACTCTGGCGTCTAATATTTGTCTACGTTACGTTAATTCTATTAAACGATAATAAAAAAATATTGCTTACATTCCCATATCGAGTAAAACAACAGTCGTATTAAAAAAAAATTTTTGTTATTTTTTTAAGTGATTGGGTAGATAAGTTTGTAAAAAAAAAAGATAGCTCTTTTTTTGTTTTTTGTTTTGTAGAGGGCGCCAAAAAAACTTTAAAGGAATTTTTTTTAGGATAGACGACTAATTTTTATTTTAATGTCCGTCTGGTAGTTTTTTTTAAAACATTTCACACGTATTTTTTGTCTTACAGAAACGAATACTTTTGACGATATTATATTTGAAATATCGCGTCACTTCTATGTACATTTTATACGTAGAAATGACGTTTTAGCCCCCACTCCTAAACTTTGATACGTTTTATCTAAGTATTATTTTATCACACACGACCAAATAAACAATACGTGTCTAATATCTTTTCATTACCTAACTGACGGACTAAATACGATTTTAATTTTCATACCCCGTCATCATTCCTATTGTAGAGCTAAACCTAAATTGACATAAATATGAATAAGGTCTAGACTAGTTTAGAGCATAACTGACTCTCGATAGACTCGGTATAGTAATTTTATTGGAGAACATAACATAAGTGATAACTAAGGAGTTTCTGGCTCATTCTTCTTCATAGTTACCTACAAAAAATCTAAGACAAAATAGACTAAGGGAAATAAATGCTTTAACTTTATCAACCCAATCACCCACACACTACAACATTGAGGTAGTTACAGCCACTAACACTAAATGCTACGTCCCTTCACATTTCACAGCCCCGGTCATAGTTTGATCAATTTTCTGTATAGCAGTATCTAATATATTAAGAACATCTTTATTTTCTTGCACAATTAATTTGTAATGCTCAGACGAAGGCACGGGAGCGTTCGGTTTAGCGTGATCTCTTTTAAAATGGCGGCTCAGATGACTAGTTTGGGTGAATTTTCTGTCGCATATTTTACATTGGTATTTCTTTTCGCCTGTGTGTACCACTTTATGTTGTTTTAAAGCTGATGATGTGTAGAATGTCTTGCCACATTCACAGTGGTAGTCTCTTTGACCTTTATGCCTTTTTAGATGGACGTTGTAAGCGCTGCATGTTACGAAACCTCGTTGACATTCCTTGCAATTGTACCTGTTAACAAAGAAAAAATATATGAACATCCTTTTCCAATTTAGTACGAAGTTTGAGATGTCAATAGTGTCTTGTTATTTAAAAACGGACAAATATTTTATAGACAACCTGTAACTCACAAGATAGTCACATTCGCCATCTAGTGTTCGCGATAAGAAAAAGTATTTGTAATTGTGAACAGTAGATGGCGTTACGTTATCGACAGCTCATAGCATTAATCATAACCTAGGTAGAAAAAGGAAGAATAGAATCTTACTCACCTAACTTCTTTATTATGTATCCTGACATGTATGGATAAGTTGCCTGAAGTCGCGAAGGTCTTGGTGCATAGGTGACAGGAGTACGGCTTCTCACCATTGTGGATCCTTTGGTGGACCTTCAGCTCCGCTTTGATAGGGAATCCTGGGGAAGAATGGTAATTTTGGTATAGGATTAGGCTGCCTCGATAACCCTGTGTGTACCCTAGCTGTGGTTATCGAGTAAGAGCCTTTTCCATTTCAGAGTTCAGCGTAAATTGCTATAATCGGTGGCTAAACCTGACCAAGACAACTAGATATAAAGATAAACAAAAGTTGCTTGCAAACTTAGAAGTACGACTGACTATCGATCATAAAGAAGACTCATTCAAGTTCACATTAAGTATTTCGTAAAAAATTTCAGAAACTGCGCAGGGTAGTTTCCTAAATTTTATTTTAATGTCCGTCTGGTACATTAATTTAAAACTTTAGACACGTATTTTTTCTTTTCTCACAAAATTCAATACTTTCGCCGATATATTAATTTCAAATATCGTATGACGTCACAGCGTGGCACACTTTGTAGCACGTTATGACGTAACAACCTCCCACTCCTAAACTTAGCGCCATTTTATCTAAGTATTGCAACTTAATACGAGAAAATAAAAAAATACGTGTCTAATATTTTTTCATTATCTAACTGACGGACTAATTAGATTTTTAATTTTGATACCCTGGAAACTACCCAATTGTAAACTTTTACATGAGATTTATTGGTTTAGTCGAAATAAATGACTGACCTTTCCCACAGACTTGGCACAAGTATGGTTTGTCTCCTTTATGTCTCTTCATGTGTATGGAGAGCTGGGCGCTCTGCACGAACGTCTTGAAACATATATCACAACTGTACAACTTCTCCCCTGAAACAAATAGATACATACCATCATATCTGCTATTTCTGCTATAATCTTCACCCTTGGGCTAGTTATTGTGATTGCAGTTGGAAATATAAACTACGTTTAAAAAAACTGACTTCATCCCATCTTCTTTTGAAGGTGGTTGATTAATATAATGTATTAAACTGTCAAACACCAAGCGGTCACCGGTGACCGCAACCTATTGTTCTATAATTGTGTCTATAATGACGGTACTCGAAGAGTTAAAATCTTCTCTTAAGTGTACCAAACACTTATTTGCAAACCGTATCAATATTGGTTCCCCAACCGCAGACAGTCGTGCAAACATCCATAGATACAGGTCAAAGTGTTCTCACTTTGACCTTTTTTGAAGTCGGTTAAAAATAAGGTTTATCAGAAAATGCTGATGCTTGGTTTTATATCAAATATTGGTTAACTTTTAGAGACATTGTAAAACAGACTTTTTTAAAAGAGTAAAGAATGGAGTATCTTACTCGTTCTTCTCCAATTCGAATGTACATTTTGGAATGAGCACCCAGCTTCACTGACGGACTATTATCTATTTTGTATGTATTGACGTTTCAAAAGTACCAAATTATGGTTTAATTGAAATAAATGCTTTGACTTTGACTTTAGTAGATTGATCAAACAAATGTATAACTGATGACCTAAAATGCACCTAATTCTTCTCTTTCAAATGCTTACCTTTATGCATTCGTATGTGGTTAACCAGCCCAGTACGTCTGCTAAACTGTTTGGGACAAAACTCACAATGGTAGGGAGTCTCACCAGTGTGTATTTTCTTATGTTGGAACAGAGCACTGTGCCCTCTGCAAAAAAAAAACATAAACAGTAAATTACTGTGATAATAGACAATCTTTTAGCGCCTACTTTGTTTTTCAGTACAGCCTAATATTAGAACATACATGACATCACACCTTTGAATTCTAGAATGGGTAGTTATATAGGTGCATATTTTCAATGTAAAATCGGTTATATTATGAGTATCATAGAATGGAAGTGAGCCTATTTCCAAACAACAGGTACAATTCTAGACTCTGTTTTATCACTGAAAATTCTCGAAAGACCTCAATAATACTCTGCCCGACTTAGTAGTATTGCCCCATGCTCAGTAGTAGCACTTTCGGCACTTGACCAATGAGATGGTCAAACTAAGTTCTGCATAATCTATTAAATAAAATACTTACCTAAATGTAGCAGGACAATCAGAACACAAGAATGGTCTGAGATCAGTATGACAAAGTTTATGTGCCTTGAGATTACTCTTAGTGCTTAGGACTTTGCCACAAATGTCACATTGGTGCGGCAGCTTGCTTTCTGGTAGAGGCCGGACTTCTCCCTCTAGGTACACTGCAAATCATAAGTTTACTAAGATTATTTTTATACTATTGAGAATTGAAGTGTTGAACAAGCTTAGTCTTGGAAAGCTAGGGGAATTGAAAATGGAAATTAAAATTTGGGCAATACCAGATGGGTTGACTGTATGTTGCCAACTAAAAAATAATTGTAAGTAAAATTCAAATTATATAATGTCTTTTTCAGATTTTGTTGGAGAACAATGATTATTGTGTGTGTAACAATATAATTTAGAATTATAAAGAGAGAGAAAGTATATCTAAATTCAGACAATAATTTTAATACCTCTTTTTTTTCTGCCTCTTTTCTTCTTAGGTTTTAATTCTATATTTTCAAGTTCTGAAAAAAAAACAAAACAAGTTTCAAATACATCACAAATTAGGAATTCTTATATTCTGTTTATAGCTAAAAATAATAGGATAAATATTTACCTGCTTTTTTAATTTTAATTTCTTCTAACAATATATTATCATCGTCAGCATCCCAAGTGCTATCATTGTCATCGTTATTAAGTAATGGTTCTGAAAATCAACAGATATTTTTACAATAATGTTGTGTGTTTGTTTATGACAACTTATAAATCACACATTCCTACTGGAAAAATGACAATACAATGAAAGTGTATTGTCTCTCCTTGCTGGTTGAATGCTAAGACATTGGGTTCATACTATTAAATTCCTTTAAATGAATAAAATGAATGGAATTTGAAGTGAAAACTTCACTAAAAAATACTTTGGACAAAATCTAGTACTATTTTAGTTACATTCTAAATGATGAGCTTTTGTTTCTTTAGATTACTCGACAATATCTAATCTATTTCAGTGAAAAAATAAATAATTAAAGAATGACATAAAGCACTTGCCCAATTTAATATTTTTAATGTTTCCAGTGGTTTCATCTAGCGTCAGTAGTTCCATGTTCTCCCCGAGACCATTCTCGCATTTTATATCTCCGAATTCCAGTTCATCTTTGAATAGACCATTAGAAAGACCATTTTCCTTGATTTCAGCCTTTGCTAGCATTAACTTTAACCTTTTGTCGCTCTCGTCACATTGTAAATTAAACGTGTACTCCCGTTTTAGCTGTCGACCACAATCATTGCAAATCAAATGGGGCAATCCATCCTCTATTTGTGGCTGGAAACAAATCACATTGAAATGAATGTTTTTATTCAAATAAACGCATTTATACGTCACGTAAGGTCGGTTTGATAATTAGGTAAGTACCTTAATTTGAGTACATTTTGCTAGCATATCACTGTATACAATATTCCGTTTCTCATAAAAACTGGTGTACATATCATAACTAATTTTATCTGATTCGAGACAAATTCTACACATTTTTGCTATGTCCAATGCCATGGTTTAGTTTTAGGATGTAACATGAAACTGGCACAATGTGGGAAGTTGTTATTGTTGAATATTTAGTGAATGTGATAAAAATACAACAACATTTTGTAATGATTCGATTATTTATAATCCACAGTCGTCGCTCGTCGATTGCGATACAAACAAATGTAATGTCATTGTCAAAATACAAAGTGACAGCGCAATTTACTGTCATTTTGTTACGTTTAGTTTACATCAGAGAAGTGATATTAAAATGTTAAGATTATCCTCTGTTACGTATCGCAGAGAACCTAACGGGTTACCGGGGCTCCGGCTCGACGTGCAGGAGAAGGAACGGGGTGGTTTTTAGGCAGTAAGAGTCCGAGACTCCCTTCCGCCTCACCCAGGTGGGAGCAGACATTCGATGATTTATTCCCATTAAAAAAAATCATCTGTTACGTCTACTTGGGACTTTCTTAGTTTTGTTCTCGATTCAATGAATGTCTTTTGCCGTCCAAAAGAGCTGCTAAGATGGGCTAAGATATTCACTGTTACCCTTAAGGGTAAATAAGTTTAATGCTCTGGGCCCTGGGATATTTAACTCGTCGAGTACCGTCATTATAGACACAATTATAGAACAATAGGTTGCGGTCACCTGTTACTGCTTGGTGTTTGACAGTTTAAAAAATCATCTGGACCTTGTATGTATAAAATCTTTTTCCAGTCCAATAGGAAGTTTGAAATTATGCCTGGTATTAGGGCAAGAACTTCATTCCTATGACATCAAATAGTTGTAATTTAACTGGTGAAAGACCTCTGGTTTCGAATTCAATACGGTACTTACTGCCTACTCCTTCAGAAATGGAAAGATATACCTTCATGTACTGAGAAATATAAATTTGAAAGAAAAGAAAATGTTTATCTATAAAGTAATTTATTTAAACAAATTATGTATTATGTACATAACAATAATAATTATTTATCCAGTATCTATTAGGATAGGTCATAGGTGATTCCAATAAATATACATCTATTACATTATTACAATACATGTTTAAATGTAGAATTAAGATACTTTATTAATCTATTATAAATATCCCTAAACTGTACATATAATTTACAATATTTAAAATATGTACAGTTAAGATTTCGACCGCCATTAAATGGTGCCAAACCTTATTATATAAACTAACATTTGACAATAACAATATCTAAAACAATTGTAAGTAATAAATTGTATAATTGAACATAATAGATAAATTCATTTGCTACTTTCTAATATAAGTATAAAATAAAACATTTACAAAAACAGCCTTCGTTTTGATACCATAACCACAGTTATCAAGTCTCAAAATGGTCTAAGTAGGTAGGTCTACCCTACTCTATGAAACACTTTTGCAGTAATTAGTTACAGCTTCTCATTATCTTCTATAGTATTCCACTTCTTTCACCTTTTATTAATTTCCCCCTTTATTACACACAAAATGATAATCGTCTTTTGCTCACCATAGTCGGTAACAATACCAATAATCAATACATAGTATAAAACAAAGTCGCTTTCGGTGTATGTCCGTATGTATGCTTAGATCTTTAAAACTACGCAACGGATTTTGATGCGGTTTTTTTTAATAGATAGAGTGATTCTTAAGGAAGGTTTGTATGTATAATACATGCATATTGCACCCGTGCGAAGCCGGGGCGGGTCACTAGTACCATATACATTGCTTCTTGCTTAGATCTATATTTCAGCAAATAACTATTAGCTGCCCTGATATAGTTGTTGTCACTGTTTTGTTTTATAATCTTGTAGATTATTCCATTGCTTAAAAGACTTTCACAGCTCTTATGGTTGCATTATGATAACATCCATAGTTCTTTCGTGCTGTATTCTTTTACTCATCACTATGGTACTCAATAAATTGTCTTTCAACAATTGTATAACACAAGATATTTTTAAATTGACAATATTGAAATAAAATATTTACTACAACATTCATATGTAAACATAATATTTCTGACACATATTGCACTTATAACTATTTTAAATGTGGGAAATTATTAATGTCATTATTTCACAGATAAATCTTGAGAGTATATGTGTTAACTACTACACAAAACTATTTATTTGAATAATAGTACTGTAAGGTTTGTACAGATCCTTCTGGAATCCAGGATTGAGATCTCTCATTCCATTTTCTGTTCAGTTGAAGCTCTCTCTAGCTTCCTCGGCCACAAATCATCTGACTGTGAGCAGCCAATGAAAGTTTTTCTCAGTCTCTTCGCATTCCAAATTGAACTCGTAGGCATCTATAAGATGTGCTATGCAATTGCGGCATAGATATGGAGGCAAGCCATCTTTCGTGTTGACCTGAAACAATAATAATCTTATTACAAAAATAATCATAAAATTAAATAGTTGATTCTTGGAATTCATACACAAGATACATGGTTAATTTATGATATTATATTTCATAGTCTAAACAACAGCTGCTTTGCTCAATCAATTAGTTTTCATGGTATTTTTAGAATCATTAACTTCAATTTAGATGAAGTCAGCAATAAAAATCATGGTGTTTTGTTGTTATAGTCAGACTATTACAAACAACACCATCTGAGGAGTACACTGTATGTGGAGCAATCGTGTTATTTTTTCTTGCATAGTGGGTAGGTACTTACTTACCATTACTTTGCTGCAATATGCCAACATATCGCAATATAAAGTATCCCTTTCTTCATAATAACTTTTGAACATGTCTAGTGCTCGTGGATCTATGCGCAAACAAATGCGACATATTTTTTTATTCTCTGACCATATATTTTGTTCTGACGCCATTATTTAGCGAAATCTTCTGATGCAAGTCTTCAAAAAATCCAAACAAAAACAGTTCTATGAAGAGTGTAAATGTCAACAAATGCATAGAATTATTGCGCGAAATAAAAAAAAAATATGTATGAGATGTAAAGTAAAAACACTGCAACACAGAAGATTAACCGTAGCACAATATTATTTTTCTATAATTTAGGTTTAGCACTGCTGTTTTTGATTTGGTAAATCAATCAACAAATCTTTGACATTTCACTGGGGCCGGTGATGATGGTCAAAGAGTTCTGGCAAGTGGCAATGTCTGAATGTTGTTCTTACTGATAAAGTGATAACGAAACGTCAACTAAAAATCGATTTTGTAGTATTCGTAAAACACTGTGATAAGTTTTAAATCAAATGAACTCCTAAGTTATATGAAATACAATAAGTATGTTATTTAATTTTATTTCATTATTCGACCATGGCCATGTGAATACCGTAGAAGGTTAGTCGATTTCTACGGTTATTAAATTATCTGTGGTAAGTTTGGATTCCGGTGGGCCGATTTTCCGATTTTTAAAATGTCGGAGAAGTCGGAGGAGAACCGAGTCAAGTCATGGTGATATGATATCAGTTTACAAACAAAAACTAAAGTGTTTCTTTCTATGGGAGTTTTAAATGATTGCATGAATTAGTAAGGTACCGAAGGTTATAAAATAAATATGTCTGCACTTCAGAAGAGTATAATGAAAAATAAATTACCGCCAAGGGTTCCCAGAACTTCTGGTGTCTCCAAGTAAGCAAAACTTCGTTTATTTTTTAATAACATTATTGTGTTAAAACCTTATTTGTTTTCTCTACGGCTTGTAATAAAAAGTAGGCTGTGATTTAAGAGCAAAACTTTCATGGTGTAATTGAAAATAATTGTTGTAAAGTGCGCTATTGATATCACATGAAAATAATCAAGATTGATTAAAAATCAATGTAAGTGTGAATAAAACAGAATGTGGATATCAGATTCTTAAGTTTTACACTTAAATTACCTATAATAATTCAAATATTCTACTTCATACATGTAAATGTACTAACATATTTCGATGTCAGCTTGTATAACAGTACTTATCTTTTAGGATGGCCCCATTTGGAGCAGGTCGCCGTAAGGACTACACGCCAGTATCATGGAAGCAGTATTTCCATCAAAGTGTGGATGTGACAATAAATGCTGGCACCTTCAGAGTGTACTTATCTCCAGAACCTGATCATCCAGACAGACCTAGGATAGTGACCTTGCATGGAGGTGGATATTCAGGGCTTAGCTGGTCCTTGTTCACAGTAAGTTTACAGCACAAAGCTGTCAAATAAAAGCATTTTCTATCTTTCTGTCATATCTTATGAGAAATGAAATTAATGTAAGTTTTCCTTGTTAGACTCTTATTAGTATGTTTCTAACATTTAATGATCTTGATGTATTTGGAAGATAATCTTTGAATTAACACATTTCTTTTTTTTTACAAGAGATTGATTTCTTAAGTTCGTTTACCATTTCTTCTGGTAGGTATAGTGAGACATACTAAATTAACTAAAAACCGCGTGTTACTTATGTGAATATACTGAGAAAAGCTCTACTAGTTTCGAAGCACAGAGGGGTTCTTCCCAGCTTTTCTATGTATTCACGTGAGTAACCTGCAGTTTTTAGTTAATGTTAATTTATATTAATTTTTTTGGCAAAAGTCTGTGATCTGATGAGTTTATTGCAGTATCTAGTTCTATTACAAACTTGAGGGTAACCTCTAGTCTATATAGCCGTTCGTTAGTCTCGCTAAAACTCGAGAATAGCTGAACCAATTTGGCTAATTTTGGTCTTGAAATGATCGTGGAAGTCCAGGGAAGGTTTAAAAGGTGAGAAACAGATTTCTCACTCACAATCTGTAATTTCAGGAGGAGATAACAAGCATGGTCCATTGCCAAGTTGTGTCCATTGACATCAGAGGCCATGGAGAGACCAAAGTGGAGAACTGCGATGACCTCAGCATTGAGACACTTGTACAGTAAGTCATCTCTATTTCAAAATACATTAGTTTACTTTACATACTTTTTTAAATTTTAACTTCGTAATTCATGATTATGAAAATGAGTAAGTGGAGAGTGGTAACCAGTTACCGCTTGGGAAATGGGCAGTTAAGGGTATTATGTGTGCTATAAGAATCAGTTAAAGGACTACAAAGAGAGACATTGACATTCAAATACTGAAAGGCTACTCAGTTTTATAACCCACATATCCCCAAGCGGTCACCGGTGACCACTCTCAACTAACTATATTATAGACCTTATTTCCGATGTTTAGAGACTACTTGGAATGATTTTCAGCAGGTTACATTGTACTTAAATATCGTGCCATGTCTATCTTTTTGCAAAAAAATTGTAGTGACCGAACTATTTATTTAACTTGAACCTTTTAACTTGTGAGTTTTGTGCTGCTTGCCTGCCTGTGGAGTTTGTAGGAAACTTCATCCCATGTAGAAGAGGCTCATTGTTTAACAGAGGACATTCATAGGCACGCATTCATTCTATAAAAATTAAAAAGTTTTCACTAAATTAAGTCTGTAATAACTACCTATTTATTAGTGTACGAGCTACGCTGTACATTGACTTTGTCGTCATACGCGCGAATAATTAAATCATCGTAATCAGCATTTCGGAACATTGTAAACTACATAATTAATTTAATTCAGTAGCAATAAAACTATCTAAGAGATTGGTCGTCTACTCATTTAACATTAACAACATCCAACATTGCAACATAAACTTATAATCAATAAGGGAGTTACAACCCCTACAATTAGTTTTAATTCTGTTTATTCTCCAGTGATGTAGAGCAAGTCCTTCACAAGCTGTTCCATGAGGGCATCCCTCCTTTAGTACTGGTGGGGCACTCAATGGGAGGTGCAGTGGCAGTGCGGGTGGCCCTGCAGCCCTCACTGGAGCACTGCATACAGGGCATCGCTGTTATTGACGTGGTTGAAGGTAAAATTAGTCTAGTCTGTCCTCTAAACTTCTCCAAATCTTACTGACTACCTACCTAACTAACGAACTAACTAACTAACTGACTAACTAACTGACTAACTGACTAACTGACTAACTGACTAACTGACTAACTGACTAATTAAGTGACTAACTGACTAACTGACTAACGAACTAACCAACTAACAAACTAACTAACTGAGTAATTGACTAACTGACTAACTGACTAACTGACTAATTGACTAACTGACTAACTGACTAACTGACTAACGAACTAACAAACTAACGAACTAACTAACTAACTAACTAACTGATTAACTAACTAAGTAACTGACTAACTAACGAACTTACTAACTGACTAACTAACTGACTGACTACCTACCTAACTAACGAACGAACTAACTGACTAACTACCTAACTAACTAAGTAACTGACTAACTGACTAACTGACTGACTAACTGACTAACGAACTAACGAACCAACAAACTAACGAACTAACGAACTAACTAACTGATTAACTAACTAAGTAACTGACTAACTAACGAACTTACTAACTGACTATCTAACTGACTGACTACCTACCTAACTAACGAATTAACGAACTAACTAACTAACTACCTAACTAACTGAGTAACTAACTGACTAACTGACTAACTGACTAACTGACTAACGAACTAACGAACCAACAAACTAACGAACTAATAAACTAACTGACTAACTGACTAACTAACTAACTAATTAACTGACTAACTGACTGACTAACTAACTAACAGACTGACTAATTATCTAACTGACTAACTAACTAATTCACTGACTAACTGACTGACTAACTAACTAACAGACTGACTAATTATCTGACTAACTGACTAACTAACTAAAATACTAACCATTACACATTAAGTTTTAGTAACTATATCAAGACAATGTAAAATTAATATTTTATTCCAGGCACAGCAATGGATGCTCTGGCCAGTATGCAGAGCTTCCTGCGGAGTAGACCTACACACTTCAAGAGTATTGAGCATGCCATAGAGTGGTGGTGAGTATTTTCTTATTACTTATTTGTTTAAATTTTGTGACATGGAGTTTGTTATGACACAGAGCCTGGAAAAGTTCCCGGTATATGGCAATAGGCTCACCCTCTATTACATGGGACTCAAAACATAAATAGTGAAAAGTGGGTGTTACTTCTGTGTACACCTCTGCCTACCCCTCCGGGGATAAAAGACGTGATGTTATGTTATGTTATGTTATGCATAAGGGTTTGATGCTAACAGCATTCTCTGCCAGTCATCCTTTAGTTAGTTCAGAAATGTACGTGATAGGTGGTAAGCTGCAAAAGCAGTGGTAACTATCCATTTTATTACAAGAACATCAAAATTATTACTTATTTCAATGAAACAACAAGGTCTCTCGAATATTTCTAGATTTTTACAATTTCTTTTTGCTTGTCCTATTTATTAGCAGAAGGGTGAAGGCATGTTATATGTAACTATAATAATATAATATAGTATTTAGTAACCTAAATACGGTAGTTGACTACTAGTCAAATACAATACTTTTATCGAAACGTCAAAAACGATACTGTTGAATTACCATCTTATGACGTCATCATATTTTCGCGTCAAACACCACACTTATATCTAAAAAAAATTGCTAGAATAAATCAAAAATTAAGTATATCGGCAAATCAATGAATGAAAGTATAACTATTTTTCAATATTTAATTGGACTGAAAAATAAAAATAATTTATTTTTGACCCAGGAAACTACACAATTCTTGCTATTTCGAGCCTTAGTACGAGTTTGTTTTTCGTTTAACGCGACCAAAACGAGACCGCGGTCGACGGTCTGATTGGCCCGCTCCAATGAACCAACCAATCACAGCGCTGATCGCGGTCTCGTTTCGAATACTTTTACTAAGCCTTTAGTCTCAAAAATGAAAAGTTTCAATAATGTCTATGGACAATATCAAGCTGAAGTTGATTATGTAAATGGATTTAAGAAAAAGTAAATACATAAGTGATTTTGTTTACTCTATGATTTATTTATTTATTTTCAGTGTCCGAAGTGGTCAAGTACGAAATGTGGATTCGGCGAGAGTGTCGATGCCCAGTCAGATTATTAAGTGAGTATCTATGCATACTATCTTACAAGATATTGCTTATATTTTACAAACAAGATGTCACCACTCTTTCTATACAGCAGTTGGCTATTTAGCGCTTGTCTACATGTAGAATAGAAAACTAAAATATATGGAATTGACGTAAATTTTGACACTTGTCAGTGTCATCCTTATACATTTCGATTTCTACTCTCTCTGTAGACAAGCACTAAAGTGATATTTGGCTAAGGGTTCAGGAAGGGAATGGACTACATATTTTACAGAAACTGGGCAATATGAATCTTTTAAACTGCGATCTCTAAACACAAAATCCATTAGTCCAGCGGTGGACTTTTAACAGGCTGCTAACAATGACCTGATGTTTCGTCAAAGTAATAAATTAACTTTATTTTCACATATAATCACAATAAAATTTTTGATTTGAACCCCTTCTTTTTTTTGAATTCGGACCTAGGGCCTTCTCCTAAGCGTAGCAGACACTTTGCTAAAATCGCATCAAAATAGCGCACAAACAGTCATAAATACATACATACAGGTCAAACTGAGCACCTCCTGTTTTTTTGAAGTCCTTTAAACATAAATTAATTAATCCACAGTTGCGAGACCGGTAAACTGGCTATCAATGAAGTTGAGAGCTATACATCTGTATCCGACGAGTCTGTCCCAACTCCAACAAGGCATGCTCCTCTAGCTGACCGGATTGCTGAGGAATCTGACGGTGAAGCTGATGGGGAATCCGAGTCTGGCTCAGAGACTATCGTTGAACAATTTGTGAAGCCTTCTGCGGTGGGAGACGGAGCTTCTAGTATGAAGTAAGTTGATTAGTGTCTAGGACTTAGTTTTAATATGATATTGTACTCTTGGTTCCTTGTATATGCGAATAAATATTCTTTTTAATTTAATTAGGCAAATTGTGAATACTAATCTTAGTTAAAAAGTAAATAAGCTTTTTGGAGTTGTGAATTAAGTCATTTCTTTACCCTAAGTTCTTTAATTTACTTTAGTTGTTGAAGAATTATTTCTAAGCCTAAGCCTAAGTTCGTTTGAGCCTAAAACAGTGTTAAATGTTACTTAAAGCCATTTAAAAGGTCATATGGTAAGGTTTCAAGATTTTGGTAAGTGTAGAGGCGATTGAGAGAAAAGAAATTACTGAGTGCTCCTAACTTAGACTACATAAGTTCCATAATATGTTTTAGACAATATAATTCTTTCAATGACCACATTCAACATGAGTCGATTGAAACAAAAACATCACTGAGATCTGCTAACTAGACTATTTAAGATTTGATAATATATTTTACACACTGTAATTATTAAATGTCATATATAAATAAATACGTAAATTTCAGATACAAATGGCGCATAGAGTTGTCTCGCACGGAGCGCCACTGGTCGGGCTGGTTCCGCGGTCTGTCGGGCGCCTTCCTCAGCGTGCGCGCGCCCAGACTGCTACTGCTCGCCTCTATCGATGGACTCGATAGAGAACTCACTGTCGGACAAATGCAAGGTTATTTACACATTTTTGTAGTATCTAGATTTCCGGACAAACTTTCTTTCTTAATGAGTGTGAACCATGTTTTTAGTAGAACTATATAGTATCTTTGTCTTATACTGGATACATATATACGTAGTACATTCGTGTATTACTGCGTTTTTAATCTCAATAATAGCACAGAGTCTGGAATAGGGTAGTTTCCTAAATTTAATTTTGATGTCTGCCTCGTTGGCCTAGTGGTCGCAATTGCGACTGCCGGGCAAGGGGCCTCGGGTTCGATTCCCGGGTCGGGCAAAGTATTAAAGGGCTTTTTCAAAAAATCACAGTAGTAGCACGGAGTCTGGAATTGTGCCCGGTATATGGCAATAGGCTCACCGCCTATTACATGGGAGTCATAACATAAATAGTGAAAAGTGGGTATTACATTATACAGTAGTATTTAGTGCCGTAAGTGCCTACACCTTCGGGGATAAAAGGCGTGATGTTATGTTATGTATATAGTATCTAATACGATTTTACAAACCTTGCTTTATTAACTCGTCGAGTACCGGTTTTGTAGACACAATTATAGAACAATAGGTTGCGGTCACCGGTGACCGCTTGGTGTTTGACAGTTTAATAATAATCATTTAGATACGCACAATTAACATTTGACCTTGAGCGGTGCTAGATTAAAGTCTATTGCTGCATTTCACTTGCTACTGGTAAAGACTAACTTATAATATAAACACAATGTATTAAAAAACCAATGCCAACTGTATTTCAAAACTCATTCCGTTTGCAGGTAAATTCCAAATGCAAGTACTGACGAGGTGTGGACATGCGGTGCACGAAGATACACCTGGGGAGGTCAGTTCCAAGTTTGTTTATTCAGTCTATCATTTACTAACTACATATAATAACTTGAATTCGTTTCTACCTAATAATATACCATAAAAACAATAGTATGTCTAGTCACCAATTTTACACGTCATTTGTTATACCCCCGCCAGGTGGCGCGCGTAGTAGCAGCCTTCGCCCTCCGCCACCGTCTGACGTCCCCCACGGAGCTGGGCGCCGACATGCAACTACTGCACTCTGTGCCCGGCTGCTGAACTGTAAATACCGGTACTTACTCAGTCAATAAGAGACCTTAGTACTAAACTAAGCGAAACGAGACCGCGATCGACGCTCTGATTGGTTGCTTCATTGGAGCCGGCCAATCAGAGCGTCGACCGCGGTCTCGTTTCGGTCGCGTTAAACGTAATACAAATTTGTACTAAGCCCTCTGTACGTGAAACATGTTTATTGAACCCCCTAGTTTCTGAAATATGTGATTGGGTACTTTCCTTATTCAAAAATAAATTACTTCGACTGTTCAATACAATCAAATATTAAAAAATAATCACATTGATTTTATGACCAACTTAATTTTTGTATTTGTCCAGCAAATTTTTAAGAAAAAAAAAATGCTGTTTGATGCTAAATAAATGTGACGTCACAATACACAATCTCGTACAAAATTCATAGAAAACTATCGTATTTGATATTTCGAAAAAAGTATTGAATTTGACTAGTTGGCAAGTACACAATTGTTAAGATTTAGATTAAATGTTGACAGAAAAGAACCTTGGTTTCCGTGAAAAATATTTTAATTTGGTCTGTGTCTTCTTCACCTTTAAACCAGTGAACGGAGTTGTGTGAAATTTTGTACAAAAATAGTTTCGAGGCTCGAGAAAGGACATAGGTACATCAGTGCCTTTAGCCAAACGCCACTTTAGCGCTTGTCTACAGAGAGAGTAAAAATCAAATGTATGGAGATGACACTGACAAGTGTCAAAATTTACGTCAATCCCATATAATTTGGCTTTCTATTCTACATGTAGACAAGCGCTAAATGGCATATGGCTACAGCTGTAGGAATGGGAACTTTGCGGGGCAGCTTTGGATGTTGATATTTACATATTTAACAATATATAAAAATGTATATATTTCAGAAGTTAGGGGTCAATATTAAAAGAGATTTAAACATATGTTAAGTTTTTCTGGTATTACACCGTTGATAAACAAACATAACAATAGTTTTATAGAGAATTCTATTTAATCTAATCTAATATTAAAAATAATACTTAAAATCAAGGTTGTGTTTGAATATCTTCCAATTTATAGCAATAATTAATTTTATACTTATTGTATAAATTGTTTGTTTGTTTGAACGCGTAAAACTCAGAAACTACTGGACCGATTTGAATAATTCTTTTTGTATCGGATAGTCCATTTATTGAGGAAGGCTATAGGTTATAAATCATCACGCTACGGTCAATAGGAGCCGAGCAGAGTGAGTTAAGCCACGTGGAAGTAGGTAGTGGTGAATATGTATAATTATTTGTATTAATTAAGTATAAAATACGTATTAGGTTTGATTTTATGGATTCTTTGGACTTGTGACTGTCATTGATACTTGTATAGCTTAACGGCTCGTCGATAGAGCTTACGACGAACAATGAAAGGCTGCTCAATTTGAAGTCGCGCTTAAGTATAGTTCTGTCACTACAAATCACTACATCACTACATATTATAAAACAAAATCGCTATCTGCCGTCTGTCTGTCGCTATTTGTGCTTAAACCTTTAAAACTACGCAACGAATTGTGATGCGTTTTTTTTTAATAGATAGAGTGATTCTTCAAGAAGTTTATATGTATAATACATGCATAATATATAAACACTGATAAATTTAGAGGTTTCTAATTGCACCCGTGCGAAGCAGGGGCGGGTCGCTAGTTCTTTATAAATAAAATTACAGATTTAAGTACAATTTAAAATTGAGTTCGCTTTTCAGTATTCGGTCGATAGTCTTAAAAATCTAAGATTCAATCTTCGCTAGCATAGCTGAACACTCGAGCTTGTGTCTAAGACGACAACACACTATTAAGTAATTTAAGTTGTTCAATATAAATAGAATTCTCTATAAAACTAATTCACAAAATCTTCTAATTATAAGTCTGATTCTCAAAGTACTTACTTGTATGCTACATATAATAGGGTAGTATACAATCTATGAAAATTAAAAATGTAATTAGTTCGTCAGTTAGATAATGAAAAAATATTAGACACGTATTTTTTTATTTTGTCGCTCAAGAAAACAATACTTAGATAAAACGGAGTTAAGTTTAGGAGTGGGAGGTCGTTACGTCACGCTACCCTATAAAATGTAGTAAATCGTGACGTCACACGATATTTCAAATCAATATATCGTAGAAACTATTTAATTTTGTAAGAAAAGAAAAAATACGCGTCTAATGTTTTAAAATAATCTTCCAGATGGACATGAAAATAAAGTTTAGTATACTACCCTATTGTCATAATGTAAAATGAAAGTAATATATTTAAATATATTAACTTTACCCGGCCTGAGGAGCAATGGTGTGATTACATTGGTAGAAATGTTGTGTTACCTGTATACTAAATAACTTGGTGAACTACTTTAAGATTTCGGAATTGTCAGCAATTACGAAACGTCTGAATTTCTGTGGACTTCGTACGAAGAATTTTGGTTTACGTTTAAAGTAATCGAAACGATACCACGTTGGGGCCTCTGATTGGTTGGTTCATTGGAGCCGGCCAATCAGAGCGCCGAACGCGGTTTCGTTTCGGTTACTTTCAATCAGATTCCAATCAGAGGCCCCAACGTGGTATCGTTTCGAAGCCCTCTGACCGGTTTTAATCTCGCCTCATTAATAATATGGAACTCAATGTAACGAAAATATTGTATAATAAATTCTGCCAATGTAAAAACACTTTGAAAAATGTGATTTTTAACAAACAGAACTATTTTTGGAAATAATAAAAAAGTAACTTATATCTTATTGTTCTAAGATCTTGCTCACAGTGAGTTTATTTTTATTGAGTATTTAAAAACATGAAATGTATGTAAAATGTAAGAGAAGCTTATCATTAGGTTTAGTTAACTTTTATATCGCTGCTGATGATATGCATGTCCAGGGCGCTTACTCTTGAAACCAAACTGTATGTTAATGCAATTTCAATCCAATAAAATACATAACATCACGCCATTTATCACCCCGAAGGTAGGCAGAGGTGCACATTACGGCATTTAATGCTACTGTACTATATTACACCCATTTTTCACTATTTATGTTATGAGGCCCATGTAATAGGTAGGAGTGAGCCTATTGCCATATACCGGGCACAATTCCAGACTCCGTGCTACTACTGAGATTTTTTGGAAACCAGTAATACTTTGCCCGACCTGGGAATCGAACCCGAGACCCCTTGCCCGACCTTCGCACTTGCGACCACTCGACCAACGAGGCAGTCAGTAAAATAGTAAATAATATATCATCCAATTAAATCTCAAAAATTATTCAATGTCAAAATTATACAATCCCTATCGTAGCTGTTAAAATAGCATTCAGAGTACGGAATATAAAGCCAAACTCAATACCATTCAGTTCATTCAATATCGACGCAATACGGATGCAATGGGCGCTAGTGTTGCAACTCGAGAGTACGAAATTTCACAATACCAATGTCGATCGATCGGAATTGGATTCAAGAGTAAGTCCCCCGGTATTCGTATAATACTATACGGAAATGTTTTGTGTTAGTAGTTTAAAATGTATAAAAAAGAAACTAAATATTTGTTCAAGACCCTTTGAAAATATGTATGATTTCTACAGAAGTTCTGATTAATCATTTATCGTAAAGAAAGAATAGTAAAAATAGTATTTTGTTCCTTGTGTCCTATATATACCTACACATTAAGCCTGTATAGAGTGTAATCTTACGTAACAGGTATTTTTATGTTTCTGTTTATACAAGATGTTGTTTTAAAGCCGCGTCATTTTCTAGGAGGTAACTCGGCTATCGATTCTGAATCCGAATCTATAAAAAAAAATTGCAGGTATGTAAATGTTTTTCATTTTTTTGTAAATTACGGAAATCCGTAAGTGAGAACTACACGCCGCCGTCTTGTAACTAGCTTTATAACGCGGCTTAACACACACAAACTTAAACACGTAATTGACATTATTCCTAATTCCATAAAACTCCAATAAGAAACATTGCTGTCGCTTATTCTGAAATACTGTCGAACTTAAACGATTTATTATAGCCGTATTTTTAACTATTGGTCCGAAATTTTCTCTTACATTGAACCTTAATGACTTCTGTGACATGCCCCCGAAAAGTGTCCTGGTTTCAAAACTACGCCTTGTATATTAATCTAATTACATATATTTTTGATAACTCGTCCCTTTATGTGTACATGAAAAGTAACACGATCACGGCAATTTATGGATTGAAAGAACAATATGTACTTATGAAACTTTGCTATAAATAACTAAATAGATACTGTCTCCATCTTGTTAGATAAATACTACGCATTAATATATGTAGGTTTTGGTGTCAAGATAAATGTCCGTTTTCAATAGAAACGTCAGGAAAATACAAACAGTAATGTGAATCCCTCAATGGGAACTTCATAGAAGTGGAACTGTTATTATTGTGCAAGTAATAAAACGATTGTTTAAGGCATTGACTGCCAATAAAAAACTGTTGAAGGCAAATCCTCCGCTAATGTCGGTCACCGGTGACTGCCATGGCGTTTAACGTGTTAAAGACTTTGAAGGCATTGTTCTACTGTTTCCTAATTTGCAAAATAATAAAATTCACTCAAAAGATTTTCGAAAAAAAAAAATCGAAATGGACACCTTTATTTTTTTTATAATAACTATCGTGAGACATACTAAATTAACTAAAAATCGCGGGTTACTCACTCAAATACTGAGATTGAGATAGAGGTTTCGGTATTCGTGTCATCGATAAGGAAGAACCCCTCTGTAGTTCGAAACTGGTAGAGTTTTTCTCAGTATTTTCACGTGAATAACCCGCGGTGTTTAGTTAATTAACTTTTTTATTGTTTTATTTTATTTCGAGTCCTTTTTTATTGAAAACGGACATAATTGTATATCGTTTAATGCAACGGTGTATAAGTTAAGTTAAGTATCACTAATTTCAATTTATTTTGTACTATTTACCTTGGATCTCAAACTGAAGAAATTATCTTTCCTTCGTACTAAAGGTTACAAAATGTAGTCGAAAGCTAACGTAATACTGTGTACGTAAGCATTAGTTTAAGATATACATGATATTTGTAAGAAAACCTCAGATTTATTAGTTAGAAATAATAATTATATTATTTAAATGGCGTTCCATAGTCTCTGCCCACCCCTATGGGAGACAGGCGGGAAGTTATGTATGTATGTATAATTATTTTTGTTACTTTCTTTTTGTATTAAATGAAAAGTAGGTAAGTAGTGTTCAGCACATGAATCAACTCTTCTGCCAAATTTTCTAAAAGTTTTCAACTTTA